TGACTTTGCGGTTCAGTATCCAGGATTGGAGGAGAACCTGTGTCATCTATAACCACATTGATCGATTCCATTAAAGATGAAGTTCGCAGGTTATAGACACGAAAAGCTCTACTGGTGGTTGAATATCCTAGAAAAATACCTTCATCACTTTGGGAGTCAAATTTTCCCAAAGGCTCTCTATCTTTGAAAATGTAGCATTTACTCTCAAAAGTTTTAAAGTATTTTACATTAGGTTTCAATCCCTTCCATAATTCATATGGAGTTTGTAAAGTGTCGAGCCTTAAATACACAGGATTTATGACATAAACAGCACTATTTAGGGCTTCAACCCAAAACTTTGAAGGAACTTTCTTACTAACGAGCATGACCCTAGCCATCTCTTGAACAACTCTGTTCTGCCTCTCAAAAACTCCATTTTGTTGTGGAATAATCGGTGCAGAAAATTCATGCTTAATTCCATGCATATCACAAAATCCGAAAACGAACTATTTTCAAACTCACGACCATGATCAGTTCAAATTCTTATGATTCGTCCAATAGAAACACCCTGTTCATTTTGGATTTTAAGCACTAAGGCTTGAAAAGCATCAAACGTATCAGACTTTTCTTTAAAAAATTTACCCATGAAAAACGAGTAAAATCATCAACGGTTAAAAAAATGTATCTTTTATCTCCAATGTTTTCAGTGCGAGTGGGTCCTATAAGATCCATATGAATCAATTCAAGAGGACGTTTGGTTATAAAGCTTTTCACCTTTTTATGAGGGGCACGGGTTTGCTTCCCAAGTTGACATGGTCTACACACATGGTTCATATTCTTACCCAGTTTAGGTACTCCTCTCACAAGCTCTTTGTTGGCTATCTTAGGTAGGTCTTTGAAATTCATGTGACCTAATCTTTGGTGCCACAGATCAATATTATTTATGATGGCTGAGTAGCAAGTGAGATCATTAGTGGTAACAATCCCATAGTAGTTATCAAATGTGCGAACCCCATGCATGACAGTATTTCCCTTTTTATCTAAAATTTCACGTTTATTTTTTGAAAATAATACTTCATGGTAGGAATCACACATTTGACTGATGCTCAAAAGATTTGATTTAAGGCCATCAACAAGTAATGTATTTTCGAGCTTGGAAAGACCAACCACACTTATAGAGCCCTTACCAATGACTCTAGAAGTGCCACCATCTCCAAAGGTAACAATTCATCCTTCATATTTTTTAAGAGAGGTGAAGTAGGATTTGTCACCTGACATGTGATGAGAGCACCCACTATCAAGGTACCACACGTGTGAATCACGTGCTTTTAGAGTAGTGTGAACAACAAAACAAGTCAAATCATCCTTTCTCACCCATATCTTTTTGGTCGTAATAAAATCAAGACTGGCGGTCTGGGTAAATGTCTTAGCGTTGTGAACACCCTCATGAATCTTGGTGTTCTGCCTAGACATGTAAGGTTGTCTCCTAACCCAAAAAGTATTAGAATTTCTACCATTTTGAGACACCTTATCAAACAACTCAAAGCAATAAGGGCGAATGTGGCCATACCTACCACAATGATGACAAACAAAAATAGGTTTTACCTCCCTTTTGTTGATCTTACCCCCGTTAGGCAGATGACAAAAGAGAGATCACCCGGTTGCACCTTCAGTTTTCCTTTTGCTTGAGTCTTCAGGTCATGTGATGTAAAGGCATGTCCCTTGTGTGCTGTCGTATTAGCATAGCCTAGTCTACTTTTATCACACCCCATTTGTTGAGACCTGAGGATGTCTTCTAATGTCCTGGAACCTTTGTTCCACATGGCAATTGTGGCTCTAGCATCTCTAAGTTCTTCATCTTTTTGACCAACCATCTCTTCCAATGTAGCTTGTGACATCTCAAGGTTTTCAATCTTCTCTTCATATATGGCATAAATTTTCAGAAGTTCAATCCTTTCGGTCTCACAAGATAAAAGTTTCCCACATAGGTCTTGTTTGTCATTAGAGATCTTGATGACATTCTACTTTGCTATTGCAATTTCTCCTTTTAGCTTGACATTCTCATTTTCACATGCTTTGAGCTTGAGAGTGAGTTTGCCATTGATTTTGGACAAATTCAGAGATTCAACATAAAGCTTTTCATAAGCTTGTTGTAAATCATCACCATCAATCTCTTTATTGTCTTCTGATGTTTCATCATTTTCTTTTTGCTCCTTTTTCTCCTGGACCTCATCCAGTCGAGCAACTAAGGAAGGAAAGGTGATAGATGGTGGTGAAGATGACTCGCCTCTTTCATGAAATTGACTCATAATGTCCCATGCATCTTTGGCCTTTGTGTAATGAGTAACTCGTTGCTGTTCTTCGTCAGAAATTGCTCCACGAATGGTAGTCGGAACTCTTTGATTGCTCGGATTGTCAGTGCTCTCAACATCTTTTTCAATGGCTTGCCAGCCCTTAGGGTCGTTAGCTTTTAGAAACATCCTCATTCTGATATTCTAGAACAAGTAATTACTCCTATAAAAGGTAGGAGCATGGTGCAGATTATGACCACAAGAAAATTCCACTGGCTTTGGAGGAGGTTGAGTGAGAGTGGACCAGAATGCCATGTAAGTATTATCTCCGTCTTCATCGGCTTCGGTTTCTTCGGCTTCTTACTATGACCCACTTTTATCATCTCAAGTCACTATATAGAATTTCTTCCGATTCTTTTTCGATGGACATTCAAGAGCAATATGTCCAAACTCTTGACATTCATAACACTTGACCCCTTGTCCCTTCACAATCTTCTTTTTAATTTTTGGAGCAAGTTTTGGTGGAAAAGTTTTGGGTTTTTCATTACTCTTATCTTTTGAAATAGGGTCCTTAAAATTAGGCTTCTTTTTCTTTAATTTTTTTTTGAACTGTTTAGTGAACATTGCCGTCATCTTAGACTCTAGATCAAACTCAATCTCAGGAGTTTTTGTAGTCTTATGAGCACTAATGAAAGTCACACTCTCTTTTTTTTTTTCTTAAAAATCTGGTGGGCTTCATAAGTCTGCAAGTTTCCAATTAACTAATCAAGCTTGAGAGTATCAACATTCTGAGCCTTCTCAATAGCTGTCACTTTTGATTAGAACCTCTCAGGTAAAGACCTTAAAATTTTTCCAACAACCTTAGCTTCAGGGAATTTTTCACCGAGTGTGAAACATGAATTCACGATGTCACTAAGTTTAGCATAAAAATCATCAAACGTCTTATCATCACGCATAAGAAGAGTTTCAAAGGCAGAGGTGAGATGTTGAAGTTTTGACCTTTTAACAGAAGTAGTACCCTCGTGAATTGTTTTAAGAATGTCCCAAGCCTCTTTTGCTACCTCACACGTGCAAATACGACGAAACTCTTTAGGTGTGACGGAGCAAAAAAGGGAATTGAGAGCCTTGCAGTTCCAACTCGAGTTTTGATAGTCAAATGCGTCCCATTTATCAAGGGGTTTGGGAATATCAACACCATCAATGATGATAATAGGTTCACTCCACCCATAGATTACACAGTACCAAACTTTCTCATCGATAGATTTTAAAAACGCTCTCATACGAGCTTTCCAATAAGAATAGTTTGTACCATCAAGTAACGAAGGTCTATGGGTCGAGTTACCTTCGTGAATTGAATCTATATCATCGATCACACAAAATCACACTCCTATAGTTTTGATGAAAAACAAAGAGTGACCTGCTTTGATACCAATTGAAAAACCTAAGTGATTCGTGATTAGATCAAGATTTAATTGTACCAGTTCCCAAATAATTAAAACTGACAATTTAAATCATCAAGCATGTACGAACGTGATTTAGATTGTTGTTTAAAAAAAATAATAAATCGACACAAACGATTTTTACGTGGAAAAATCACAATTGGAGCACCGACAATTGTGATAAAAAAATCACAGGCGAAATGCCACAAATCAATCCACTACTGAAGAGAGAAGATTACAAAGATACCAAACAAATTACCCACACGCTATCAATTTGTCTTCAAATCTTTTGAATACACCGCAACCTTCATCTCATAATTAATTAGATTGATGTTGAATCCATAACATCCATTGTCGAATCAACGACTGCGCATAATATCAAACTCCTTCGACTCCTTTGTGCTTGATTCTTCGGATTCCACTGAAGATGAACACTTTTAAATATGAACAATCAAACTCCTTGATGTGTGCTTATCAAAACATGAGTTTAATACTCAATCAAAACATCAAGGAAAACTAGCAAATAGACCCAAAAGAAAACCCTAAAACCCTTAAAGAAGATCTCAAAAAACGTAACCCTAAAATTGACTTAATCAAGTATTTATAGAAAGCAGGGACTGCGAAGCTCGCTCGAGCGAAGACTCTCTCGCTCAAGCGAGGAACCAAATACGCGTGTTTTCCTTAAGTGGCGTCGCTCGAGCCAAGCTTTCATCGCTCGAGCAAACAATCCTCCTTCCCAGAACTTTTGCAAACCAAAGCAACTTTTGGGAGCAGAACATCTTCGCTCGAGCCAGGACTCATTCGCTCGAGTGAGCAAGGCAAAATAACTAGGAAAATTACAACTCGATTAAATAAGTTTTTTCGTGGGATTGACAAGACGAAGGGATCTAACAAATTTCATTGCAACAATGAACAAAGAATTCAAAATAACCTTGAAACCTAATTCGAAATCAGAAATCGAAAATCGAAATCCAATCTCCACCTAAAAATAACAAATCAAAACCCAATCTCCACCAAAACAGCAAAAAAAATCTAATCTTCAATTACCAAATCAAAATCAACGTATTTATATGGGAGGGAAAATTAGGTATTTTACTATATGAAAAACGGGTAAAGGACCTTAGCCATAAAAAATATTATGGACTTCTCTTATTACCCAAAGTTAGAGAGAGATGTTGGACCAATTTTCCCAAATAGTTGTCAAATGCGTTTTCCTTTCAATAAAAAACATAAAATACAAACATTATCACACATAACCTTAATATATGTATATATATTTTTTGTTTTGAAGATGTTCCTGTGAAGTTGGAAAACTATGCTGATCAAGACCACAATAGAAGTGACATTGAAAATTCGGTTAACTGCTCTCAAGTTATTACACAGAAACACAGCTGGGCTCGAATTTTGGGGGCAAACTTCCCCAATTCTGGTTTGTTATGAATTCCTTATTAACTCAACTTGAATAAAGGCATGCTATGGATGAAGTTTGGCCAATATAGGAATTCGCAACAATTCAATATTATTTGTGCTATACAAACATACTTTAGTAGTTTACCTGTTTGATGTATGGGATAAAATAATATTTTTTTTATAAAATTTAATTAATTATTTATATATATGTTTATATGTAGATATATAATATTTTGGGTAAATTACAATCACTTTCCATGAGGCTTTGAAAAAATTACCCCACACTTTTGTCATAATTATATTGATTTCCCTTGAGATTTTAATTCACATAATAATTAGGCCATTTTTCATCAATAATTCATTAGACATATAAATGAAAAAAATAATATTACCATTTTTTTATACTAAAATGTATAATTATATTTGCTTATTTTAGTGTCTACCAACCATCTGTATTAGTTTGGTCGTTTTAGCCTTACTAAAAAAAAAAAAGTTTACCTCAAGGGCAATTAGTATAATTTACCAATTATTTTTTTTTAAAAATATTGTGATGTATGCAATGCAAATTGATAATATTAGCTCTATTGTGATATAAATTGTCATCTAAATATGGGTAAATTAATGTAAATTACACTGATCTCCCTTGCAAACTAAAGTTTGAGAAAAATACAGTTAACCTTATAAATTTGACATAATTACACAAATCTCCTTTGTAGTAATGATTAAAGTAATGCAAATAGTAGACAAACACTAAAATAAACAAAAATAAATATATATTTTAGTAGAAAAAAGATGACAATATCATCTTTTGATCCATACGACTAACAAATTACTGACCAAAACTAGCCTAAGAGTTATTAGAATTAAAATCTCAAGAGAGACACGTATAATTATGTCAAAAGTATGGAACTAACTGTATTTTATTCAAACCTCAATTGAGGTCAATGTAATTTACCCTTTAAATAAATACACATATGATAATTTTAGTCTCATTATTTATGTTAGTTTGTACACATAAATAAAAGGGTAAATTACACCCACACCTATGTAAGGTTTAGAAATAATACAGTTAGCTCTAAACTTTTAACATAATTACAATAAATAACACTTAGACCATTTTTTATCAATAATTTATTAGTTGTATAGAAAAAAATGTTATTATCTCTTTTTGTTAGAATGTATATTTATTCACAGTCTATATCATTTTTTGGTCGCTTTAGTTGTATTAAAAAGGAAATTAGTGTAATTATGTTAAAAGTGTAGGGGTTAACTGAAATGTTTTTCAAACCTCAGGTGAGATGAGTATAATTTACCCTAAATAAAATTGTTTTAAAAGGTATGTTGTGAACTATGCAATGCAAACAAATATTTTTAGTCATAACGTTTTATAAATATGCAATGCACCCCTAGTTACGATTTTTGTGTCTTTGGTTATGATATATTGTATTGTTAGTTATAACTCATTGTGATATTAGTTGACATTATTTTGGTTATGATCCAAGAGTTATTTATTATACTTTATGTAGTGTTTAGTTATAATTCTTTTCTTTTCTTTTTTTTTTTAGTTATAACTCCCATAATACCAAGTTATGCCATTTGTGATAATCAAACCCACAAATGGCATAACTTGCATATGGTACCATAGCATTACCCTAGATTATAATATTGTAAACGGATTGTGATCCTCTCCATTGCATATTTGTAATGGAAAGGTTCTATTATATTATCTAATGGTGAGTGTAATGATTTTTTTAAAATTTAAAATAATTATAAATTTACATTTTAAGTTTTTATAATTGGCAATCTCATTTGACAAAACTCATTTTCAGTTGTAATTTTATTCGCTCTTTTGTTTTAGTGAGGCTATGAGTGTTTAGATATGAATCCAACCCAAGTTGTGCCTGTGTAGAGGAGTTTGTATTGACATTCCATATCTTGAGCATTCCCTGTTTGCCACTGCGTTGACTATGTACGGGGATCGAGCCCAAGCGGTGATATGGTTCAGCTAGTATCTTCGTTTGCAAACTGAACTTCTAGAAAAATATGTTTTGCTGCTCAAGCGGTGGATGTTACGCTCAAGTGGTTTGCCTATATGTGAACACCGCCTTTACTCACACCACTCGAGCAGTAAAGTGTGCGCTCTAATGGTCTTCATGGATCTATTTAGTATAAAGTGCATCGTTTGTTATTTTTAGGGTTTAACCTGTCTAGATTCTTAGAGAGGAGTAAAAAACAAAGTGTGCTATATTGGAGGGTGTTTATATATGAGTTTTCTCGATGATTTGAGGGTGATCTATTGATCAATAAGTTTCATATTGACTATCATCAAGGGTTGTTGATTTGAGGTTGCAAATGGTGGTCAGAGATTAGCGATGATGCGAAACAAAAGTGGAGGACTTGCAAGCTAGAGAAGAAAAAGGTTGCTGGTGGCTTTATTATTGGTGTGTACACGTGCCTGAGAAAACTTCCAAGTAATCTTTCCAAAAGGATGTGGGATTCTTCAAACATTTCAAAATAAGTACAAAAATTTCTTAGTAAGTTTTAGGCAAATGTATAATTTCAAACTATAACATTCCACACAAAAAAACTTCTTAGTGTACTTTGTCCAAAGTAACACTCCAATATAACACTTCCAAAAAAAGATGTGGGATTCTTCAAACTATTCCAAAAGAATGTGGAATGCTTTAGACATTCTAAATTGAGTACAAAAACTTCTTAGTAAGGTTTGAGTAAATGTATAATTTCAAATTGGTGGGATTTTTCAAACATTTAAAAATGAATACAAAAACCCTTTAGTAAGTTTTGGGCAAATGTATAATTTCAAATTGTAGGGCTTTGATTTGGAATGGCTTAAAATGTGAGATTCTTCAAACATTTTAAAATGAGTACAAAAACGCCTTAGTAAATTTTTGGCAAATGTCTAATTTCAAACCGTGAGGATTTTAGTTGTAACGCCCTCAAAATAAACCCATAATATCATACAGTCAAGTTACAGGAAAGAGATATTATATTACAATTATCAGAGTATCCTTACAAAATGTATTACATGTTGACAACAAAAGTAACTGCCCTATAGGCTTACAACTTTCCAAGTCAACACTTGGTTACAAAAAGAGAGTACTAACTCAAATACATATTAAGCCCTTGGCTTGAATTTACATGAAATACATCCAAAGAAAACAAAACAACAAAATAATCTGTCTGCCTCTAGCCTCTCAAGCTATGTTCTTGGAGGTGGCATACCACCGGTACCTGAAAATGAAGTCCCATATAGGGTGAGCCACAGCCCAGTAGAAATACACTAAACCAACTATAAATAATGACTAAAACAATAGCATTAGATAGATGGTCCACACTTATATTCCAATGTATACTATGTTACAGTTTCATGACAATCATGTCCATATTACAATTCATTTTCCATTTCTTATCCAACTTTAAGTTTGAAAACAAGGCTCAGAGTCTGGCCACATAATTTAATGAGATGACAACTCATCACTAAAATACTTTCGAAATTCATAATGGATACACTTTTTGGTGCTGTATCAAAGTCAACAAAAACATTTCCATACTTCACAAATGATACTGATATACATTTTAGTGTTATATAAAATCAAACAAACACTTCCATACTTCACAAATGATAATGATATACATTTTAGTGCTATATCAAATAAAACAAAATCCGGTTTAGAGGTCCATCCCCCATCTTCCAATAAACCGTGAAGTACATCCCCCATCTCCTCCCACACAATAGAATGTATATAAGCAATTATCATATACAAATTTAATCTATCAAGACAAATGATACACCTTTTAGTGCTGTATCAATGTCAAACAAAACACTTCTATAATTCACAAATGATACACATGTAGTGCTGTATCAATGTCAAACAATATCCGGTTTAGAGGTCCATCCCCCATCTTCCAATAAACCGTGGAGTACATCCCCCATCTCCTCCCACACAATACAATGTATATAAACAATTATCATATACAAGTTCAATCAATCAATACAAAATTTTGATGTATTATACCAACCACCATACTCGATAGCATACTCAATTGATTAGTTTTAATTTGCCTAATCATCATGCATTGCCTACAACAATCAAGACTATCCTCCACCGATAGCCCAAAGCAGTTATTTCTAAACAGAAAATAAATGCACCAACTAGATAAAATAACAAAATTTTATCTAGGTGAGCGATAAATTAATCCAATTACACCCTTTAATCCCATACCTTTCCAATTTGAATATTTCCTATTCAATTTCTCATTTCCCTAAATTAATTATACAAATTAATTTATCATAACAGTTAGGGCTTCTCCCCATATTCTCAATATCAACCCTAAGGTTCCATTTTCATCAATGATCCACATACAATTCCATTTTCCAACATATTCCATTCATGTGGGTTTTAAACTTGAAAAAACCCCTCTTTTGAAAATTACACAAGGACCCCAAACTTTCTCAAAATTACCCGACAACCCCCAACATATCAAAATGCCAAAATTTAAAGACGAAACTCATAAGATGGAGTAGGATATCCTTACCTCGAAGTTAGAGCCCAAACGGAGATGAAGGCCAAAAACCAAAGTGCTCCAAATCCACAAATTTTCAGATTAGAACGAAGCCCCCAACACCCTCTATCTTTTATACAAAGAACTTAGGGTAGAAACTCACTATAGGTAGATCAATCCCTAGAGAGAAGACAAGTATAGAGAGAGAGAGAGTCAGATCTAGGGTTTGCAAAAGAAAAGGGAATGAAAAAGTGAAGTTATTCCCGCTGCTGCCTACTGATATACAACAGGCTCGCTCGAGCGAAGAGTTGGTCGCTCGAGCGACTAGACACAAGAAACCCTCGCTCGAGCGTAGAAAGCCTCACTCGAGCTAACAATTCGAAGCTTCAGGTCTGCAATCCAGAAGCACGCTCGAGCGCAAGAATGCTCGCTCGAGCGAAGGAACCCAAAACATACACCTCGCTCGTTTGAGCGAAGGAAAGCTCGCTCGAGCCAAGAAACACAGCTCTCAGGTCAAAATGAGACGCAGACGCACGCTCGAGTGCAAGACTTCTCACTCGAGCCACCAGACACAAAACTCAACTCTCGCTCGAGCGAAGGAACCCTGGCTCGAGCGAATGATCTAAAACACAGAGCTCGCTCGAGTGACAAAAGTTTCGCTCGAGCGAAGAATCAAAATTCTGGGCAGCAACCATTTGCTCCCAATCACTCCCAACCTGAAACAAACCTGCCCATCACATCCTATAACTCAATTAACAAGTATTGAAGGATGGAAACAAGATATGAATGACAATCAACATCCACGGAAACAAGTCTGGATCACTGTACATAAAGGGGTAAAACCCGGGATCGCTATATCAGTCATTTATGGGTATTAACTAGCATCCACTAGTGTAAACTATAGGGTTATATTTTCATTTCCACACAAAAAAGACTGTTGGGTTCATTAGATTATTTGGAGGACTTATTGGTTACTAAAATATGAAAATGAGATTTATTGGTACTTTCTCTAAATTAGAAAGAATAACAATCTTAAAATTAAAGAGCGATTTTAATTTTTTATTTACTTTTATTCATTTTGAATAAAAGGTATGTTGCAAGTGTAGATTTGAGGGTAGTAATATATTAATAAATTCAAATTAAAATATTAAAATTTCAAAATAAAAACAAATAATTGAATTCATAGATGGTTGGATTAGGAAAGATAGAGCTAAATTAATTGATGAAAGACTATATTAGAATTTTATATGAATAAGAATTTTAATTGGATAATAAATAATTTAAAATAGTGGAATAATTTTGATACCTTTAGACGTGACACATTAAAAAGATCAAGCTATATAAAGTGGCACATAGGTGCAAGACAAAATTTTGGAGGTAAATAATTAGCATATAGATTTATTTATTTTTTATTACATTTTCAAGCTAATATATTAGAGTGATATTATACATAATTTCATTTTTTATCTCATTTTTTCACTTCAAGAGATACAAAGTAATTGGGCTCACATGCATAAATGCACATGAGCCCATTGACTTATGTCTAAAGATGAGAAAAGAATAAAAATAAAATAAAATTATGTGTAACATTTTTCAACACAATAGTACCTTTAGAGCTTTGGAAATTACATCCCTTCATTAAGGTTAATAATCGCACTATAAAAAATTCCCCAATGTTAGTTGACACTTAAATCAACCAACATATTTTACTTGTACCAACATTTAATTTTTTGAAAATGTCATATTTACCTTTGTCAAATTCTTTTACACAATAGTTCCATTTGTCTCTCCTCCATTGAAATGCAGAAACAGAGTTCCACCCCTCACCACTTTTGCAACTATCAGCCATTAACTATCACTACCTCACACTCCCAAGCCATCACCACCAACTACTGATACCTCTAACCCTCTCCAGCCATCACCAACAAATACCAATAATTGATACCCCACTACAATCAATCTACCTAGCTAAATTGCCATTTATCAATCCGACCATAACCAAGGAAGAGAGAGAGAGAGAATATCGGGATGGTACAAGAGAAAGTGGTGGTGTCACGATGATGTAGAAAATGACTCCCCAACAATCACTTCAATAATCTATTGCCAATAACCGAAAAACCATTCCTAATAGCCATGCCAAAAAAATTACACCCACCCCCACGAACCTTCCAAACATGAAATCAATGCACATCAAAACTCCAAGGGAGTTTGGGAAATGAATTTAGTGTGGTCATAAGCTTATGGCATCAGGCAATAGAAAAAAGAGGCATGTTGTGGCAGAATAAAGGAACAGAGCAATCGAAAGAGAAAGAGGTGCGAAAAAAGGGAAGTGAGGAGAAGAGAAAGAAAAGAATAGTAAATATTGGGTCTTAATAATCGACTTTGAAAAGGATTCATCACATGGCGAATGCCAGTGGCCTTCACATGTTGAACGCCACAAAACACCAGTGGCCATTGCACGTCCAATGATACCGCTAGTGGCCAATGTCATTGGCCATTCATTTCATGTTTGTGGATACAATGGTCACAGAAAGGTAGAGGTAGAGGTAAGGTTGTAGATGCATAGTGGTGGAGATGGTGACCACAAAGAGGTAGTAGAAGTAAGGGGGTTGTCGTTCAGAGTGGTAGATGGGCGTTAGGGAAAAGAATGTGAAAATGGGAAAGGGATAAAGTAAGGCGGTAGAGGTGAGGTGGTGGGTATTGGAAGGAAACATAGAGACTGATGAAATAATTAAGGTAGTAAGGCAATTTGACATTATTAAGTAAGGGTAATTTAGTACTTTTATACTTTAGTTAATCCTATTGAAATTCAAACTCTAATAGGGGAATCAGTGTAATTTTTGGATTGTCAAGGAGAATTTCAACTAGTCATGAACCTCAAGAGAGGTCTGTGCAGTTTGCCCTTTGAGAAAAAACAATCATACTTGGGCTTCGATTGAGCTTGTAAGAAGATTTGTAAGAAGATTTCCCTTATTTTCATTATTTCCAAATCCACGCAATGACGTTGGGGGTGAATAGCAAATAGATCATCATCTCTAAAATTGCATATAAAATGTAGTGGCAAATGAATTAGTCCTCATTTTAGGGTAGCATATCATTAGTGTCCTTTTTAAAAATGTGACAGTATTTTAGATGAGAATAATTGATAAAACTTAATTGTCAAAATTTGTGCCAGTTTGTTGATTTTACAATACATGTATATGTTAATTAAATATATTTTTTACTAGGAATACGTTCAAATGCAATTGTTATTAAATTTAACATTTCCTTCCATATACCAACAAGTTTAATTTGTTTTATGACATACAGTGAGCCGAAAATTGCAGGCTATGCTTTGGAAAGTTCTTGAATTATTAGGTAATTGACAAGGAAAACCACTTGGTTAAAATATAGATTGATTCAATTATTTTTCTTGTTTGCTTATACACTTTCAACAAAATTTACTGCATCTTTGAGTTCTATTATTGCAGTGCCTCCCACAAAACATGTCCAAAAGCAAAAATTGATACATCTTCAAGCAATTCAACTGGTCAAATCCTTGTGTGAGAAAATTAGATCTTCAAATGACTTAAAGGTTTTTGAATTAATTTGCAAGGATGTAATCCTTGTAGCTACAAGGTATGGGATTCATGAGGTTGTTGAAGAGGTTGTTCAATCATTTCCTCAAGCAATCTGGTATTTGGACAAAGATCATTATAACATATTTGGACTGGCAGTTTTAGATCGTTGTGAAAATGTTTTCAACCTCATCTATCAAATGAGTGGGCATAAACAAGCTATGATGTTCATGGGGGACAAAAATGGGAACAACATGTTGCACTTGGCTGGACGGTTAGCACCTTTTGACAAGCTCAATCTTGTTCCGGGTGCAGCTTTGCAAATGCAACGTGAGTTACAATGGTTTAAGGTAATAAATATATTCCATTCTAATATTCCATTACTTATTTATTAACAATGATGTTATGGTAATCAAACTTGGGTAATCAATTTTGGATATCTGATATGTCAACAATGCATTGGTATGGAACAAATGTCATTCAAAATTTGATAACCAAATTTATTATCATGCCCTTGAAGTCTATTACATTTATTTGTGAGCATGTGCATGTTTTTCATTGGTAAAGCATAGTACAAAATTTGGTTCAAATATAAATTCAAAATTTAGTTTCTGACCTTATCTAAGAAACAAGTCAAATATATTTCATTATTTCAAATCTATGGCTATCATGCAGGAAGTGGAGAAGTTTGTAATACCCCGTTACAAACAGATTCGAAACAATAAAAATGAAGTTCCTTCAATGGTATTTACCAAAGAACACAAAAAATTAGTAGAAGAAGGAGAAAAATGGATGAAAGACACTGCAAACTCTTGCACAATAGCGGCAGCACTCATTGCCACTATAGCATTTGCAGCTGTAATCACTGTTCCAGGTGGCACCAATGGCACAAATGGCGTCCCAGTTTTCTCAAAAGCAAACGCATTTATTGTCTTTATCGTTTCAGATGCAATCTCTCTATTCACATCCACCATGTCTCTGTTAATGTTCTTGTCTATCCTCACTTCACGCTATGCAGAGGGTGATTTTCTTTATGTTTTGCCTAAGAGGTTGATAATCGGCCTTGTTACCCTGTTCCTCTCCATAACAACGATGATCGTAGCATTTAGTTCCACACTTTATCTTGTGTTTGGCCACAATAAGGCATGGATACTTATTCCAGTGACTGAATTAGCATGTCTACCAATCACTTCTTTTGTGTCCTTACAGTTTGCCCTCCTTGTGGATCTCATCTCTTCAACATATGGCCCTGGCATTTTCGAAAACAAAAGTGATCGAATTTTTTATTAGTTACCATCAGCAACAAGGTGAAGAATTCCAAGCATGTATCATTTTGGTTTCTTCAATCAAAATTTATAGATGTATGAAAATTCGATATTATGTCTGTATATCATTTACTCTATAAAATGAACCTTTTTTAATAAACTAAACACATAAATTGTGTTAGATGGTATCCCTCCTAGTTGGGGTTGGGTCCATACAAGACTCAAATGAGTTAACAAGTTTTTTATTTTATTATTGTTTGTAAACCTTCTCTTGGAAGCTTTGTGGCTTCCAAAGACTAAAGGATGGAAAAGAGACTTTTGGTCTCTAATTTCAAACAACACACATAGCAACAAAATAGAAAAGAGCCGAGAGAGAAATAAAAGTGAAGAAAGAGCTGGGTTTTCTTCCATAGTTCAAGTCAAGATTGATTTGTCATTTTTTACCCGATCTTGATGAAATTCCAGTGGGTTGTTCATGAAGATGAGCTCTACGTTTTGATTGGGGCGGATCTTGTCAAAACTCTCTTGGATTGGTAGCTTGAGATATCCACTTTGGTACCAAAACTTTATCTCTAGTTAATTTTGTTGAAACTTACTATGACAACCACCTCCTTAATTAGGCAAATTAATTATATTGATTATATGTTTATCGTTAATTATGTGATTATGTGTTATGAAGTGTTATTGATTTGCCATATGATTATTTGAATTGTGTTATTGTGGACAGATAGGTTAGCATGAATATTGCACCTGTCTGATTTGTTAATTTTAACAAGTTAGAATTAAGAAATTGGATAGGAATTAGAGCCTAATTCACACTAATATAATGAAATTTAGTGTAATTGAGATTATATTGTGATAATGATTAATTTAATTTAATTAGAAATTGAAAAATCTAGAAACCCTAGATGTTGATTTGTGATTATGTACCAATTTTAAGCAGAATATAACAATCCCAATCAAACAATCAAAGACAAATCAACACAACGATTTTACGTGGAAAAACCACAATTGGACACCTCCAACTGTGATTAAAAAACCACGGGCAACCGCCACAAAACAATCCACTAAGAAGATTTAAAGGAATTACACAGGTATACTCTCAATTACCTAGCGAATCCACGCCTAATTGAACCAACCTCCATGTGCCTCTTCCAACCCTATCTTCACCTCGGAATTGTCTTTACGACGAGCCACTCCAGAATCCACCGAAACTTCAGGCTCGAATTCTTCAGAATCCACCAAAGAACAACTCTCTCTCTCTTATGTATAACAAACAAAACCTTTGATGTACTCTCTTTAAACCATGAGTTGAATACTCAATAAAACATCAAAGAAAACTAACAAAATATCCCCAGATGTAAACCTTAAGAACCAAAAAGAAGATCTGGAGGAATTGTACAAGTATTGGGAGAAAACCAACTACTTATAGAAAACCAAAGTAATCCTAGTTTTGGAAGAAAACCAATTCCTATAGAAATCTGGATTTTGAAGCTCGCTCGAGCGAGAACCTTAACTTTCGTGATTTCTACTAGTGCCTTGGCTCGAGCGAGCACACCACCCTTTCAGGTTTTTGTATGGACGCAATCCTTAACTCGAGCGAGAACTCCTTGGCTTGAGCGAACTTCGCTCGATCAAGCATTCCTTGGCTCGAGCGAACATGGGCGGACATGCAATTTTGAATGCAATTTTGCAATTTGCTTTAGCCGCGAGCTGACCGGGAGCTTGACCCTCGTCATAATCAGCGAAGTGGCAATCTTGAAAGCATTAACATCACAAACTTCTCTGCAAGGCTCGATTCGGGTTGGATTCGTATCTAAACACTCATAGCCTCACTGAAATACAAGAGCGAATAAAATTACAATTGAGAAGAGTTTTGTCAAACGGTATTACCAAGAATAAAAACCTAACAATCTCCCCCTTTGGCAATGCCGTGACAAAACACACCTAACAAATAAAATCTAAACACCCCAACCCATTACAGCCAACAAAAACAAACTTCTTTCTGACGGTCAAGATTTGCAAAACAACTATTAATGCCACAATCTTCAAAACAACTATTAGTCCCACAAGAGTATATGAAAAAAACAATAAACATATGACAAGATTATCTTGAAGCATGAGATAGAAGACATGAATAGATGTAACTTGGAGATTTTTAAGAACATGTAGCATGAAAACCTAAAAACTAAGACACATGCCTAAGACACCTGCACCGAACAACATTACTCCCCCTTTTTGTCACGAATTGACAAATAAAGCTCAAACAACTATAGCATCCAATAAGGAAATAATAAGAAAACAGTGCATAGCAACTTGCAAAACATATAGCCAATCTCTCTTACCAAACATATCAAAATGAACCAAACTCCCCCTCACTAAAATCAACCACAAATACTGAAAACCAGTGAACAAGAAGAAAACGACAAAAATACTATGGTGGAGCAAGCAAGGAATTTCTGATTTGTACCTTGAAACACACAAGATTATCCAAGAAGCACCGTTACAAGAAAATACAATGTGCACAGTCTGTAGAAGATTTCTCATTAAAGAAAGTGATGCATTATGTGAAAAGCATAGATCTCATGAGAAAAGTGTGTGTGTGACTCTTGGAGTTCGACAAACACTAGATTCAATCCTAGTAGATCTAAACGTTGGACCACCGACAAGAGAATCTAAGCACAATAAAGGAAAGTCAAACCACTAGGAATCAAGGGGTATTTGGTGATTAAAAGCGGAGGCTCCCCCTCAATCAATGAATCTTTTGCACACTCATTGGCGGCTGACACGCTCAAGAGTATGGAAACCGAACCAGAGAAGCATGGATATAACAAGGATGGCCTGGTTGGTGACTCTGAGGTAGCCTTTTCCTCATGGCTAGACTGCAAAGAATTAAGGGGAAAGCCATGGAGATGCAAAAAGATGGTAGGTGGTTAAGAGACTCAACATCACCCATGATATGCTAGTATATGTCAATTCCTCTAGAAACGCAAAAGATTAATGACAGAAGTCCATAGAAAAAAAAAAATCACTAAGGTAGAAGACTCCAAAATTTGCTAATCCAAGAGTGTGTACAGAATGAGACATACTAATCAAAAAACACGCACTCCAAAATAAGTAATGGCCACAGAAAGCACACATATATTAACATGCAATGGATATTCTCATCAATTCCAATATGCACCAAGGACCACTCAAAAATTTCAAGCTTGCAAAATACACCTAACAAATAAAATCCTAATCACCCCAACCCATTACAACCAACAAACACAAACTAAAACATGTCAGAAAACAAACAAGCACACATTTTTTTTCTCATTAGAAAAAAAACACACAGAAATCCAAAAACTAAAACAAATAAACAAATTAACACAAGTCACGTTTTCTCACCCAAACCGCTTTAGTATAAACAAAGTTGTGAGCATTGCGGTTCTTGGGTGGTGTCTTGACGTTGTGATTCCCTTGGCTTTCAATAGAAACCTGTCTCGACGTGGTTTCCAACTTCCTATTCCTAGGTCTAGGCAAATGCACTCTCCCATGCAACTTATAACAATAAGGGCAAATATGACCATGCATACCACAATGATGACAAATAAAAATCGGGTGTACAGGGTGTACATTCTTTGCTTTTACCTTACCAACTCTAGGAAGTTTGAGAAGTCCATCCTTATGTTGAATTTTTTGTTCTCCCTTTCCTTGAGTTCTTGTATCATAAGATGTTGAAGAACTCTGTTTTTGCTATTTCTTACCACCAAAGCCAATGCCACTCTTGTCAGAACAGATTTGTTGAGACCCAATGATATTGTCCAAAGTCTTTGTTCCTTTGTTCCAAAGACCAATGGTAACCATGGCACACTTGAGTTCTTCCTCTTTCTTGATCATTAGTTCTTCCAAAGCAACTTGAGACATCTCGAGAGTTTTAATTTTTTCTTCATATGTTGCATAGATTTGCTGTAGCTCATTCCTCTCTGTCTCACAAGTCAAGAGTTTTGCACAAAAAGCTTGTCGATCATTAGCTATCTTGATGGCATCAATCCTAGCCTTGGAAATCTCCTCTTTTAGTTTGACATTCTCACTTTCACATGCTTTGAGTTTCATAGTGAGTTTGTCATTCAATTTGGATAACTTAAGAGATTCCTTATACAACTTTTCATAAGCTTGTTCAAGCTCTTCATCATCACTTCCCAACGATTCATCATTAGTGGCATTCTCAACTGGGCTCTTCGGAGACTCTGTTCGTCCTTCAGTTTCGGAAGCCGCCATGAAAGCAAGGAATTGTTTATGTCCCTCTTCGCCTTGATCTTCGTTGTCACTTTCATCTTTATCAGATTCTGATTCATCATTGTAGACACCCCATTTTTGACCGACCTTAAGACTCAGACGTCACCGATTGAGCGCTTGGTGATGTAGCATATCGTGCTCGTTCAGAGGTTTTAGAGTCTCGGTTGCGAGCCTTGCCTCCGGACTTCTGAACTTTTTCATGCTTTGCCTCGGTTTGCGAACCAGGCTCTATTTTCTTTGTTTTCTCTTCTCGAAGGGAGGGAGAGGTCTGGTAGATCATCTCTCAGTGGCCATAGGCTACGTTTCGTGGTCGTAGGCCATTTTGCCCGTTTGGAGTCCGGTTTTCGATTTTTTTCGGAGCCGTTGGCCGTGTGCCTCGGTTCGGGACCGCTTAACCACCTCCGTTTGCTCCAGTTTTTGGCATGCATCTTATTTGCTCCCTTTTTGAGGGACACTGTGGCCCGAGAGACCAACTTCGTGGTCGAACACCACTTCCGGTGCCTAACAGTCAGTTT